ATCGTACCGACGGCTATTCGGGCGGCGGCTGCACAATATTGTCTATTGTACTGGCGGGCGATTGCGGGGAATGCGTTAAATCGCTGACGTTACCCTTTCTCACGCTGTGCTTACCCGTTCAATACGACGCGTTACGTTATATATGATATTGAATTATATTACTTGAAATATTCCGTAGATGTTCTGTAGTTTGTGAATGTTCTGGAGAGCCTTTTAATGTTTTGAAGTTGTTGACGATCACACAATTATACGAGAATAAAATGTTGGCGTAATTTCTTTTACTCGTGGTAACGGATACTGATATTAGCCGTATCCCACCGCTGCCACCAAAAATGTTATGGACGCGCACTTGGCGATTCCACACAAATTACTTTGGCTCAAAATAATATTCTTTATTTAATTGTCATAACCAGGGCTCGGGACTTAATGCATTTGCATATTTGTTCGGGAAGTAAATAGAATAAAACTGATCCGATACAAATTTGTGTTGTGGTGTTTGGAGTTAAAGTTCAAAAGTTTATTGTGCATATGTTTGCATATTTTGGAATTTTTTTCTACAAATGCATATTTTTTATATTTATTGATTTTTATTGCATATTTTAAAATAATTTTTGATTATTTACTCTTAAATCATATTTTTCGTAAATTAATCAATTTTATCTACATGATTTTGTCAGCAATAATACCGATAAGGTGATAATCAATAGCGTTATGGGGAACCCATTTTATTTATAGCTCTGAAGACAATATTATTTTTATTTAATATGTCTTTTACATTTACAGTATTATTTTGTTTGCCAGTACACAGTGATCGACGGACTACGATCGTTATCGTGTCAACGCATATATCGTCAATCGTTGTCGTGTTCGTATTTGTATTCGTTATTTTGTATTTATTAGTGCTCGTATTTGTGTTATAATATGCCAAAAGAAAAAAAACACAAGTTAGTCGGTTAAAAAGTTTTATTTTGGAATTTGGGGATAATGTATTTTCCGCAGACGGAAGAGTTTTATTTTGCAAAATATGTGAAATTAAAGTAGAATATGAACGGCGATCTAGTGTAATACAACATATACAAACAGTTAAACATGTGAAAATGATTAAACGGAGTGAAATGTTCAATACAAGAACCCAACAAATGATTACACAAACTAATACAACTAAAAAGTCTACTTTCAATATGGACTTATGTAAAGCATTGCTATCGGCTAACATTCCATTGAATAAATTATCGAACCAAGTATTTCGACATTTTTTGGAATCTTACACAGGGAAAGAGATACCATACGAAACAACTTTAAGAAAAGGCTATATTGATGATTGTTTTATTGAAACTATGCAAAAAATAAGAGAATATATTTCTGATCATAAAATTTGGATATCGATCGACGAAACGACCGATGCTGAAGGTCGATTTATCGCAAACGTGATTATCGGTACTTTGGAAGCTGAAAAATCTGGAAAAATATTTCTTTTGAACACTGAAGAACTGGAAAAAGCTAATTATTCTACAGTTAGTAAGCTATTTGACAAATCTCTTTCTATATTATGGCCAGATGGTATAAAACATGACAATGTTTTATTATTTTTGTCGGACGCAGCACCTTACATGGTGAAATGTGGTCAAACGTTAAATGCTTTATATTCCAAAATGATACACGTTACATGCACTGCTCACGGGCTACACAGGGTGGCTGAATAAGTACGAAGCCAATATGAATCTGTTGATCAGCTGATTTCAAATATCAAAAAAATATTTAGAAAAGCTCCATCTCGCATGCTTCTTTTTAAAACTGAGGCACCGGATTTACCTTTACCTCCAGAGCCAGTAACAACACGATGGGGCACCTGGATAAATGCAGCCATATATTACTGTGAACACTTTGAGATAATTTTCAATATTGTAAATAAATTAGATTCAGAGGATGCTTTGAGTATAAAAAATGCAAAAAAATACTTGGCAACACCTCACATTAAAAATGATTTAGTCTACATAAAATCAAATTTTAGTTCTCTTACTACATCAATTACAAAATTGCAAACTGAAGGTGTTTCTTTAGCTGATTCAATTGAAATTATTGACAATGTAAGTGTTGCAATGAAACGTCTTACTGAGGCAACTGGGAAAAATATCTGTACAAAGATGGAAAATGTATTGAAGAAAAATGTTGGTCTTGCTATGCTAAAGAAAATTCAAAACATTTTGAATTAATTGACATGAAAGACTTACCAGAAGACTTAGATATTAATGATCTGACATATTTTAAATATGCTCCCATCACATCGGTAAACGTAGAAAGATCATTTTCTGCCTATAAAACTTTACTTACAAATAATAGAAGGTCTTTCAAAGTCGAGAACATAAAAAAACATTTGATAATCCAGTGTAACGCAAGTAAGTACATAATTAGAATTATAAAATGATTATTTTTTAATACATAAAAATTATAATTGCTAGGTATAGAAGATGCTGAGTGTTGAAAAATCCAAATACCTCCCATTCAACAGTTTTTACATTTTTTTTTAGTAATATACTATGTATAAAATATAAATTGTTAGTAATATGTACAAGATATGTTTTTTTTAGATTAAATTTGAATAAGTATGTATTTTTTAATTAAAAATAAATGCATATTAAAGCGCATATTTTGATATTTTTTGGTGCATATGTATGCGCATATTTTTAAGTTTTTAAGCACATAAAGTCCCGAGCCCTGGTCATAACGTTTAATTATATGAAATGCTCTGAAATGGTCTGTTGTGACACCAACACTGACTCTACTTGCTACGTGTGCGAGCCCCGCATATGAGTTGGTCGTCCGTTCAAAAAAAGTTTATTCGGCAGTTTCCTTAGACCAGTCGTATGGAAAAGGGAGTCCTACTCACCTGTGTCACACACGTATCAGTTTACAATATGATTAAACAGAAATTTACATTTATACTACAAGAACTATAGAATAATATAGCTTACAGTATTCAGGGCTTCTTAACATTACCTATTAATAATTAAGTTTTGCGGAATATATTTTTATTATTTTTGCATTTCATTAGTTTTGTGAAAAAATATTTTAATTATTATTGCATTTAAATTTTCTGATCTTATTGCACATTGTTTTCTTTGTGATCTTTTACTGATAAAAAATGATTTGTGCCAGGAATGGTACATCTATACCACAGACTATATGAAAACAGATAGCTCACTCGGGATGTAAACAAAAACTATGAATATTATCACCGCGACCAAATCAGTGTGACCACAGTGAGGGCATAACACTTCGTTTGGTCCATGACAAAAAAATGACGCGATTGCTACCTGCCGCCAACATTGAAATTCATACTAACTACCCTTCTATTCTATAGGATATGACCTTTTACATCCCTTAGAAAATAGGTTATCTTGGCCTTTAGTTGCTATTTGCACGACTTCCATGTGACTTATTAGTTGACCACTGACCAAGTGTGTAGTTTACTTAATTTTCAGTTTACAATTTAGCTGTACTTCTTAATTTTAAAATGGATAGTAAAAAAACAGGAATGCGTTGCTCTGTACAATTTTGCAAAAGTAAAGCAAGTACTAGGAATATAAGTTTCTTCCAATATCCAAAAGACGATCGTCTAGCATTATGGACAAAAAATTGTGGTACAGAAAATTTGACTGAAGAACTATCAAAAAAAAATAGCTATAAAGTATGTGGGGATCACTTTGTAGATTCAATGTTTTTGAACTCCACTACAAAAAACCGACTAGTTTTCAATGCTATTCCAACAATATTTAATGGTAAGTAAATAATAAAATTATTAAAACATGTTTAAAAATTATACAAATAATTTGAAAAACAAATTTGGATCTTAATAAAGTAATTTTTGGTTTAATAATTTAATTTTAATTTTAGTTACGTTTTTTTGAATTTAATTTTTAGATGAAATAATGTTTGAAAGAACTAAATTGGCCAAATTACAGTCGAATACCGATGTAGATCCACAGTATTTTGATGATAATTCAAAAGACCAGAGTAGCTGTAGTAGTTCAATTCCAGGCACTGAAGGATTAAGAAGTCATTTTAGTGGATCCATGAATACTTCTGATGCTTCAAATGAATCTTGTAGCTCAATCACAACTACTGATTCTTCAAATCAAACACCTGGATACTTATCGGCAAATACACCAAGGAAACAAAAACTAGTCACGGAGATTAAATCTGGAAAACAAGAAATAAAAAATTTAAAGAAGACTGTAGTAAGTCTAAGTCAACAATTAGCTAACTATGATACAGTTGAAATTTTTTTAAAATTAGGTAAAAAATATTTATCACCTGGATTATTTACAATTGTCAAATCCCAAATGAATTTAAAAAAAAAACAAAAAGAAGGTTATAGATATAATAATGAAATTAAACAATTAGCATTAAATATTTATTTTTTAGGACCTAGAGTCTATAAACTTTTATTAAATACTCTTTCACTACCATCAATTTCTACTTTAAAACGGTTAACTCATAAATTTGAAATGATACCAGGCTTGAATGAATTTTTTTTTAATATTATTAAGTATAAAATTAAATATTTTACTGACGAAGCTAAAGAATGTGTTCTCTGTGCAGATGAAATGGCCTTAAAATCAAACCGCTATTATATGTTAAACAAAGATGAAATTATAGGGTTTCATCAAACAAATAAGACAAAGACTTATACTCCTGCCAAGTATGCATTTGTTCTAATGGTTAGAGGAATAAATGTTAACTGGAAACAACCAATTGCATACTTTTTAGTATCAAGTAGTTGTACCGGATATGACTTGCAGGATATTATTTTTGAAACTATTCGCAAACTTTTTGATATAGGATTAAATGTAAAAGCTTTTATTACAGATATGGGTTCTAACTTTGTAAGTTTCAGTAAAAATGTTAATGTTACCCCAGACAGGCCTTTTTTTAAAGTTGGTGAAAAAAAAATAATATATATATTTGACCCTCCCCATTTATTAAAATCAACAAGAAATATGTTTTTTCAACACAATTTTAAATTTAATGATAACTTAATTGAAAAAAAACACTTAATATCATTTTTTGAACAAGACAGTAAATGTAATTTAAGAACAGCCCCAAAATTAACACATTCTCATATTTTTCCTGGACCATTTGAGAAAATGAAAGTTTTTTTGGCTGCGCAAGTGTTTAGTCAAAGTGTAGCAGCCGGCATGGAGACTTACCTTGTTAGTAATAAATTGGAGTCTTCTTCAAAGGCAACAATAGATTTTATTGAAAATATGGACAAACTTTTTGATATCTTCAATTCTTCAAGAAGGCCAACTTCAAAAAATTTCAATAGACCCTTTAAACAAACAAAAGAACAAGAAGACCATTTAAAATATGTGCATAATTTTTTTACAAATTTAATTATTATCAGCAAAAAAGAACAAACTGATGTTATTAACCGGATGAAATTTATTAATGGTTGGTTGATCTCCATAACTGGCTTGCTGTTACTTTGGAAAGACTTAAAATCAACAAGACCATTAAACCAACAAGAAAATTATGTTTTATACACTGCCAGATTAAACCAGGATACTATTGAGAATCTTTTGTACAATTAGACAACAAAATGGCAATAACACTAATCCAACTCCTTATCAATTTTTGTTTGCATTTAAAAAATTTTTTTCACTTAATTATTTTCAACACTCAGAAAAAGCAAATTGCATAAATGATTTGGATGCAATTTTAACTCAAATACCCACTGATTCAGACTTAGACATTAGCACCCTATTTGCTGATAAAACACCCTTTCAATTTAAAAAAACGTGTCCACTTTCTATAGGACATGTTGATTATAGAAATTTAGAAATTCCCGAACAAAATGCATTCATTTATGTTTGTGGATATATTATGAGTAAATTTCTAACCAGACACTCATGTGAAATATGTTTAGAGTATGCAAAAACCCAAAAAAATTTAGATCCTTCATTTTTATTATGCTTTTTTAAAGCGTATGAAAATGCTGAAAAATCAACGTTTGGAAATTTAAATATGCCCCATGAAAATTTTTACAATTATGTTTATAGCTTGGAATCTGAATTTATAAATAGTTTTCCTATTTTGTCTGTTGAAAAAGGAATAGGCGATAAACTTAAAATGAGAATGCTTAATATTGATTATGAACATCCATGTCCCAACTTTGATAAAGATTACTTACTGAATTTTTTTTTGCGTTTTAGAATTTATGCTTCAATTAAATTTTTAAATAGACATTTGGTATCTGAAAAAAAAATCAAAAACAGAAAGTTAGCAATTTTGCAGCATTTGTAAAGCAATATTTTGTAATTGTATTAATTTTATAAATATTTAGATGTATAATTGTAATTTAATAAATATTTTTTTTTATTAGAATTTAATATGTGCTAATTATACTAATTGAATTGTATGATACTACAATTGCTCCATTTATGTTTGAATACCTGTAACTAAATTATAAATTAAACATTAATTAGTTATTACTTTTGTAAATTGTATTATAAGTCTTTATATGTGTCTCTATGTTGTAAATAAAACATATTTAAGTTAGGAATAAATTATGTACTGTGTAATTATTTAGATTACTTATCTATAAATACTTATTATAGATTTACTTATATATTACCAAATTAGTATATATATCATTTTTATTTTTTAATATGTACTTACCTTTGTTTTCCTTAAGCATGGAAAATTTCTAAATATTGAAATAAATATTTTTTTTATGTAAAGTATGATATCATCATCATGTTTACAGTCTACAGTACTCACAAATGTATTGCAGGTAACTTTAAATATTAACTATATTATAAAATAATATGGTCTGTGGTTAATACTAAAAGACTAAAAAAGTTTTAATGTAAATTTAAATTTATAAAGTAAAGTTAAAAATACAGACTATCTGACTATCTGTGTTAAAAGCTTGTGTTAACTAATAAACTAATAAATAATAAAAACTTTTAACTATCGTCTTTCACAGTTTCACATGTCATTAACTTACGTCTTACTAATTACAATCGGTACATACAAATATACAATAATATTGTATAACATCTGAACAATAATTTATTTAAACGCATGTAGCTACACTGATTTGGTCGCACCCAATCAGAGGATCTTATTTTTTTTCCCATTGTTTTCGGCCGAGTGAGCTATCTGTTTTCATATAGTCTGTGTCTATACTACTAACACTGTTATTATTTTCCAATTATTAAATTTTAACATTAATTCAATTAACCAGTTATACGACATCTATACTTAAATAGTAACTCCTACTAACTGTATTAATTGAATTAATTATATATTATAATTAATTCAACACGTATTCCGGCCTTATATAAAAATTAGACCCACTGTCTTCAAATAAATTCTCAATAATAACTTTTAAAATAGGACTTATTCTTGCCTAAAATCTCAAAAACTTCAAATATAATATTTCAATAATATATCAAGGACTTATTGTCAGCCTTCAAAATAAAACTCGAATAAATTCAAATAAATACACAAACTATCAGGACCTACTACTCAGCCTACAAAATTCAATAACTCGACTTCAATTGTCGTAATAATTCAAAATTCAATAAAACTTGACTTCAATTGTCGTAAAAATTCAAAAACAGAAGGACTTACTACACGGCCTATAATAAATAAAAATCTCAACACCGACAACACTTGTCTAAATAAATTCACAAAATGTAAGGACTTACTGCTCGGCCTTTAATAAAATTCTCAAATAAATTCCCAATATACTCAACAATAATAATTCTCAATTAAAATCAACAACATATTCACCAATAAGGACTTAACTGCCTTTAAATAATAAAAAATAAAAATATTAATTCCCCAAAAGTTATTATAATAACTACCTTTCTATCTGTTGAAGATAAAGATAATACCTATGAGCCACCAGCAACTGAAATCATACACCACAACTTTACTCTAGAACATCATCTATCTCAAATAGTACCCTAAAACCAAATTATCTTAAAGAAGGTAATATAAGTTTATCAATTAATCATAATGTTGAAGAAATTGATAAGCCATTAACGAGGCAAATAGGATTTAAAATAAATTAGAATGTATACATTCATTCTCAAAAAACAATTACATTATATGAATTTAAATTGTTGACAACATAACCAGTCAAATGTTATTACATTAACTAAATGTCAATGTCATTATAATATGAAAACAGTATATGAAATAAATGCTTAAATCCATCTCAAAAAAATTTGTAATGAGAAAAGAGAGGGTTATTTTCGGGTATAAAACACAGAATTTGTTAGCTTATCGTTATCGGTTCCGGCACCACCAGTTCCGAGAGCAGTCAGCACTCAGCAGCACAACAGTCTTCTCTAAAAAACAACAGCCAGCCATCAACAATAGCAGCCACTCGAAAGATTGACAAAAAAACTTTCAATACTTCAATTTCTACAAGCCATGTAAGTACTATTTATTAAATTTAACATGAATACTTCTTTTTTTTTAAATAAAAAAAATAAAATAAAATAGAATAATAAAAATTTATAGTTGAAATATAGCTTTATAATATTACTGTGAACGTTATATCTTGTAGGTAACACTTTAGATAGAAATTCTATGTAATGTCGTGCTTACTGACTTAAAGATATTTTTCTAAGATAATATAAAATAAAAAAAAAAACATTAAAATAGAAATGATGGTAAAAGACGGTTTCTCAACTCTCACTTTTAGTTATTGACACGTCAAGCTGTTTTCTTTTTGTTAAGTTATGTTTAAATAAAATAAATAATACGTTATAATTATACGACTGTTCACGGTATAGAAAACTGTCGTATCATAGATTTATAAAGATAAGATAAAACATCGGGCTTATCAACTATGGCTAAAGTGTTAAAAATTTTTGAGGTTTCAAGGGTTCCTTAATATTGGTAATTATTGTAACTTAACCATAAAATCTGACTGCACTAGTACACACTGGTGTACACTGCCCGGTGTGCACTGGTCGATACCGTGTGGGCAATTATGTGATTCAGTGTTCACGTATAGTGTGTACTAGTACAGTCACATGGGAAAAATGCTATTACCTATGCTATTACGGTTATCTATACCTAGTTTTATCAACGTTAAAATACTTTCGCTAATTATAAATATTTGCTATTGAAAGTGTGATAGTTGTATTATACGTGTAATATTATTTTACGTAAACATTTTTTAATTTAAAAAAAAAAAATTCAATAATGTTTATTGACTGTATAAAAAAAATATATAATATTCTAAAACGTATATAATATATACATTTAAATTATTTTTGTTGCTTTTACATCTAGTAATGTGGCTTCACTAGTAATTAAATGTATGTTTCTATGACATAAATGCTATATTGTTTAGTTTGTTAAAGTTTTTTTATTTAGCTTTGAATAATATAATAAGTAATTTAGATTTCTATATTATATATCAGTGGCGTGCAGATCCCTTTTTTCATGTGGGGCAAAGTTAATTTTTTTACACCCACCACCCACCCAAAACTAAAAGTTGCAAATAATATATGTTTTATTAAGGGTCCCCATACAATTATATGAAAACACAATTTTTTTTAATATTTATAAAAAAAAAAAAAAATTGTAATTCAGATTCCACTATCATTTTTTATAGTTAACAGCTACCTATTCAGTATATAATATACATTACAACAACCAACTGGGATTATTAAAATAATAAATACTTTGTGGTTAATATTTTTAGAATAACAACTACTATTATTAATATATAATAATAATCTGAAATAATCAAATGTATTGAATTAATTTTAATAACTGCAGACAATGAGTTTTTATTTTTATTTTTAAATATTTATTGTATTTATAAATCTAGATACATTATTTATTTATTTAATAATGATAAATTATTTGGATATTTGATTAACTTCTAACCAACCTATTTAAATCAGTTTTGTAGAATATATTTTAAACATTTGCTAAAATTAAATTAATTAAAACAACTTCAACTGTCAAAATCATTTTATTTTATTTATTTGAACATCAATGCATCCTTTAAAACCTGTGATGATAATCCAAATGTGTCAATAACTTCATTATAGTTAATTTGTATGTCTTTCTCACAACTGATTAACATCAAACTTTCCAGTCTATTTTGATCAATAGTGGATCTTAATCTGGTTTTGATTAACTTCACCTAAATTATAAATAAAAATTAATTAATAAATAAATCTATATAATATTTTGTAAGCTCCGAAATATACCTTAGAAAAGGTACGTTCTGCTGACGCCGAAGTAGCAGGTATAGTCCCAAGCGCTTTATAGGCCAAGTATAAGTTTGGGAAAGCCGACATCAAATTATAGTTAGATAGTACATGCAAAATTGTATTGATTGTAATTTTGGTTTCAGGATTTGCTAGACCTGTGTTGTTCTCATCATCAGTGTTAGTATTGTCACTTGAATCCGTATCATATGTATCATCTGGGCCATCTGGCTTGTGTAACAATAATGGTGTTTCTAATCCTGAAACGAGATCGCTTAAACTATGACTAAACATAATGTATTCACGTTTCAAATCATTTCCGTTAATATCTTTTAACCAATTTGATATATTATGGAAACTATCTTCTGGAATAGATTTATTGTCTTTTTTCATATTCATCAGTCGTTCAGGAGACAAAAGAGATAAATCTTTAAGTATTTCTCTGGCACCACTAAATCTAGAATTAATTGATGAAATTATTTGATCCAATACTTTAAAGTATGTATTTGTTCTATATCTATCACATGCAGAAACAGATACTTCATCATAAATATTTTCACCAGGCATCCTTTTTTTTTTCTTGGTCTAGTTTCTTTAAAATTTAACTTGACATGTTGTGTTTTTCAGCAAAACGTTTTGCTTCATTTACCGTTAGTTCAAATTCTGCATCACAGCGCATAGAAGTTAATTTTTCTTTTGATGCATCAACCAAATTTAATGCCTGAATAAAATCTAAGGATTTGCTTTGTAAGTAATTGGATAAAGGTGTGGTTATTGCAAATATATTTTTATTTAAGATCATTGTGAGTATAAATTCAAATGTGATTACTGTTAAAAGACTTTTAGCACCCGATGAAGTTACTCTATCATTGTCATATACTAACCTTTTTAATGTTTCTAATATTGCTTCAAATCTTTCAAATAGAACAGTTATAACCCTTCCATGTGAAGTCCACCTAGTGTCGGAAAAGCATTTTAGCCGGCGTGTTCTCTCTCCTGGATATAACTGCTGTTGACATTTGATGAAAGTGGCAGTTCTTTTTCTTGCCCGAAAAAATGATACTAATGCTTGAACTTCACCAAAAAAATGTTTCATTACTTCACAACAATCACAAGTATCTACAACAACCAAGTTCAGTAGATGTGCGAAGCACCATACATATATAGCGTTGGGATTTTCTTTTTGAATTAATGTCCGAAGACCAGAATATATGCCTTGCATAGATGCAGCACCATCATAGGACTGCGCACACAGATTTTGACGCCAATTTAAATTATACTTTTCAGTTATACTGCAAAATTTTTTAAATAACCCTTGTCCGGTTCCATCAGCTGCGGTTTCCAAAGCTACCAAACGTTCTTCAATACTACCACAATTGTTCACATATCTCAAAACAAATGTTAACTGCTCATAATTGGCTATATCAGTGGTAGTATCAATGATTACTGCAAATATTCCTGCATCTTTGACATCTTTTAATATTTGTGAACGAATTGATTCAGACATAATGTTCAATAATTTATTTTGGCTTCTGTTAGATATAAATGATACTCTTTGGGGTGTATTAGACATATTTATTTGATCTAAATGATTTTTTAAACCAGCGTGGTTATTACTCAATACACCTAAAAGCTCTAAAAAATTCCCTCTGTTAAGGGAAGTTTTTTTTTCATTATGTCCACGAAGAGCTATGTTTTGGCGAGCAGTATATAAAAGTGCATCTATGATCACTCGCAATAATTCCCTATTTGAAGCAATTTGTTGATTAGCAGAATGTAAAAATGTTAAATCCAAACGTTGATTTTTAGTATAAATGCCACAACTTATTTCTGCTTGTAAATGTTCTGTTGAGGATTCATGGTTTTCAATAGTTCTTTTTAAATGTTTCCAATTGTTAGATCCATGGTCCACTAAATTCCGATTTTTACCTTTTTTTAAACTGAATAGCTTGCAAGTTGTACAAAATATTTGGTCCACTGTTGGTGAATATGACAGCCATTGACGTTTAATTGGAGTTGGTTTAGTGGGAATATTTGTAAAATAGTAACATTCGTGAAATGAACGTAACTTTCCTGTTGAGTCTTTTGTTTTTGGAAACATTTTATTAGGTAAATCAAAAGGACTGGGTTGGCACGCTCCATGTTCAAAAAAATAATTAAGCAAAACATGTGAGAGCTTAGATGGAATTCTAATAGGATCATTTGGAAACAAACAATTTTGTAAGTCAATATTTTTCAAATTTGAAATTGATATTGTTTTGTCCACTTCATCATTTATATCATGCAAGTTACTATCAACAATATGTTCATCTATAGACAAACAAAAAAAAACCATTAATTTAATTGTGAATTTTAATCTAGTTTTAATTAACTTGACTAGTAAAATTGTATACATAAAAAAAATTAATTAATGAGGAATTTACCATTATTCTGAACTACTTCTACATAAGAATTACTACAATCTTGATCAACAGGCTCAAATAGTTTCTCAATATCATTAAACGCATTATCCAAAACTAAAGGATCATTTGGAAACAAACAGTTTTGTAAGTCAATATTTTTCAAATTAGAAATTGATATTGTTTTGTCCACTACATCATTCATTTTGTTTAAGTTACTATCAACAATATGTTCATCCGTAGACAAACAAAAAAATACCATTAATTTAATTGTGAATTTTAATCTAGTTTTAATTAACTTGACTAGTAAAATTGTATACATAAAAAAAATTAATTAATGAGGAATTTACCATTATTCTGAGCTACTTCTACATAAGAATTACTACAACCTCGATCAACAGGCTCGCATAGTTTCTCAATATCATTAAACGCATTATTCAAAACTAAAAATTAATAAGAATATATATCAAAACAACATTTACAATAGTTTTTTTTGCCAAAAAGTAAGAATAAAATAAATATATTAATGAATTAGTACCTATCCAATTGAAAATAGGTAAAATTGTTAAATTGTTATTGCCTAAATTTATTTGGAATGTATAATTAATATGAAAACAGATTTTTAGATTTTAAAAAAGTTGAATACCTATTATAAAATAGAAAAATACAGATTTAAAAATAAATCAAGTACCTAATACAATTGTCAACAAATTTTCAAGATTTAGCTTACCTACTGCTCAAGTTTCAAAAACATTGTACATTAGATTCATGGGTACATCAATTATTAATTAATAATTTTAATATTTTTAATGTATCCAATATGTTCTGAAGAAAAAAATGGTATCATTTAATTATCATCAATTACAATATTATAAGGTTACTTATATATTTTTATTTGATATTAAATAATTGACAAAAAAAAATTGTATTAATATTATACAAAAAAAGTAAAATACCGTCCCTATATGTTGTAATTAGGATTTTTTTTCCTTTTTTATCATTTGTCCTGCTGTAATTCTGTCTTAATAGAAATATATAGTTTTGCCAAGCTAATAAGTATCATTTAAAAATGAAAGTTATATACAGATTTAATTTTAATTACATTATAGTTACTTACGTGGTTGTTCAATTACTTCAATTTTATTGAAATATTTTGAAATTGTACTGGAAGCAGTTTTTTTAAGAGTCTTAGTCTTTTTATGACAAGATTCCTTATGCCGAATCCAGTTTGTGTTGTTCATAGAACCCCGTTTTTTGTCACAACTGGGACACAGTGAATTCATTTTTAAATTAAGTAATTTGGATATGGAAATAATTAATTTAAAAATAAAAATAACACTGTAAAAAATATAAGCCAATACTTCTAAATTGTAAAATGTCAAATAAAACGTAGATTCACTAGATTCATATAAAATATAAATGTATCATATGATTAAAATGAATAGCCGAAAAGTAACAATGACACCAGAACAACACTATAAGACGTTATAACGTAATAAGTAGGTACTAAAATAGTAAAATAATCGTTCACAAATCCACCGCGTCACAAACACAACACATAAATCGTTTCGGGAAAATATGGGGATTTACGTCGAATAGCTGTCCGCCGATGACTATTTGTTTTATTTATAAACTATGTTTATTATTTAATATTTAGATACTACGTCCTGATTAGATTTAGTTCGATTTCAATGAATGTTTTTATATGTTGAGGTATAACTTGATTATTTATTTATTTTCATTTATATTTCCCAAGTCCAATGAAAACTGGTAACCACGGGACGATATGCATAATACAGATCTGCCGTGTACTATGCAGTATGTTTAAATATTTATACTCGTATATATATAAATTGATAATTCTTATTATTATTTGAAATTTTGAAACGTCAAACGACTATACGAGCTGCTCAGACGTAATAAGTAATAACTTGTTAGCAATATACGCTTTATTGCAATGATTGCATTGATTGTAGCTAATAGCTATTCGTATGTACATAGAAAGAACTTACAAAGTTACAAATGACACGTAGGTAGTAAAATAACATTTACAAATTTAATTTTAGTAACTTGTATAATTATTAACAAAAAATACCACCCACACCCACCCCATTTTCAAGTGGGGCCTAGGCCCCATTTGTGTCTTGTCTGCACGCCACTGAATACATGCCCATCTATATATTATAATATGCTACCACCAATGCTACCATCAAACATTCCCTCACGAATTGATGATTATTCTGGAAATGTCGAGGAAAATGTAGAGGCAACGACATCAATGACCCATTTAAACACTGCTGTTTCAGAATTACAGGTAATTATTATAGGTTCTCATTAAAATTTTGTTGTTCTGGAAAACATTTTTAATTAAATATTGATATTTCAACTAGGTATTTACTTATGTACTTAGTTATTTAGATATATAATATTTGTTTTTAATTAATGATAATTGATAAATTATCTAGACTATCAAGTTACCTACCTATCTATAGGTCTTTTAACTTTAATTTGATAGAATTTATTACTAAATTAATATAGGTACTAAATGTCTAGGTCTATTATGGATTCATAATATCCTTTATAATTTTGTAACATAAATAATTTTTTTCAGCCTAGTATAAATACCAGTCACTTCCCCATGACTACAAGTTCTTATACTCATGGTAATAATATGACATTAAATTATTATATAATCATATTATAGGTATTATTTCTATTTAGTAATTTATTATTTGACATATTAATATGTTTTGATGATTTAAACCCAAAGTTAATTGAAGTTCTGAATAACTTATACAGAGAAAATATTGCTACTAATCTTATGCTTAATCGTGTGATGGTAAAAGTTGAAGGAATTGAAGCGAATCTTAAAAATAAAAACCTGAATACTGATTCTACAATATATCTGGATACTGAGTTTTTAACACTATTCCCAATTAATAGTACAAATGGGTTCATATATCTTACTTTTATTTTAGTGGTATCACCAACATCGAGTGAAAAATTGGAAAATGTCTCTTCATACAATTTTTTTTTTTTTTTATTGATCTTAAGCTTCGGCAACTGTGGTCATTAGCTAAATTCAAACAATTTATACCAAAAACCAGTTATAAATCATAATAGTATATCTAGTAAAGGTAAACATTAAATGTTTTATTATTAGGTATG